TCTTTGCTATTGATTTACATTCTTTTCTTTTTTAATTTCGTTTCATTCTTTGGCTAGCATATATTAACAATATAAGGATTTTGTCTTTGGTGGTATTAGAGCTTAAACTCAAGTCCTCACATTTCCTAGGCTGGCACTCTACCATTTAAGTCATGTCTGCAGCCATGCTTTTTTTTGCTGGTTATTTTGGAGATGGAGTCTAGCAAGCTTTTCTGCCTAGGCTGAACTTGAACCAAGATTCTCCAGATCTCAGCCACTTGAGTAGCTAGGACTATAAGCATGAGCCTCTGGCTTCAAGGGGATTTCATAGTGCCATACTTACTCATAAATATGCAAAGTATTTCCATCCTCTTCATCTCTCAGCATCTTTTCTCCCTCCCTTCCTTCCTCCTTCATTCCTTTTCCTTCCTTCCTTCCTCCCTTCTTTACTCTCTCTCTCTCTTTTCTTTCTTTTTTCTTTCTTCCTTCCTTGCAAGGTGACAGGTCCTTAGTACATGCACTTCCAACATGATCTATGCCATTTCCTCCACCATCACCATTAACAGCTTTATTAAGAATGATGAACAACTAGTTAGGAATACAAGGCTAGTCATTTCTAATGTAATAGAGTCCACAGACTACCACGAGAGAAGTATTTCAAAACAAAACAAAAAGTCAGGCCAGTAGCTCATACCTATAATCCTAGTTACTCTAGAGGCTGAGGTCTAAGAAAAATGGTTCAAAGCCAACCTGGGCAATAAAGTCCATGAAACCCATATATCCAGGCCCTGAGTCCAAGCCCGAATACTAGCACTCCCAGCACTCATGCACACATGCGCACGCGTGCGTGCCCACACACACACCAATTAATCCTGTCACTTTTCAACTCAAAAACCTTCCTAGGCTTGCTAATGACTCCAGAATTCAGACTACTCGGCATGAAATTCAGAGTCCACTGTGAGTGTGCCTCCATGTTCCTTTTCAGCCTCATCCTCCTCTTCCAGGCATTCTGCCCAGACACAGAGACTGCCTGACCACCATGAAAACGTGGCACCAGAATCTGATGCTTCTGTTTTTTCTGATTCTGATCATCTGAGTCCTAATAACACACTACATAATAGATGCTCAGCAAATATTTGTTGAATCAATGTAAGAAATAAACACAATAGAGGAGGGGGATTAAAAGTAATGGAAATGTACAGTGAAACTCAAAACATTATGAAATGGGCACTGGAGCAATACTCAGGCTTACTGGATTTTTCTTTAGAGCTTACAAAGCAGAACAGGATTGAGTTTCTCTGCTGACACACAATTCATTCACCCTACGCTATGGTGTCTTTAGACAGGCAATCTCAAACATAATCAGGAAGTTTATCAGGAAACAGTATAGGTTTGAATTTGAATTTGAAGCCATCTTATACTCAACTAGTTAAAAACAAAGAAAAATGATAATGAAGCACAAAGAGATAACGCTTGATCTTCATTATTTGCTAGTTGCTAATTTCACAAATATGAATCTCCTTGTACTTGAACTGACAGCTAGAAGAGGAGAGAAAAAATGTCATCCCCAAGAGCAGTGACAAGGCTGGTAGAAGACCCCAGAGTTGTCCCAAATAGTCTCCATCTATTTCATGCACTGCCCTCGCTCTCACCTGCTTCAGTTTGTCTCTCTCAAGTCTACAGCGCTGGGGTTGCCATAGCTGCACAGGGTCAGTTTTTTCTTTGACTCCTTCCAGTCTCCACCCCTCCCAGCTTCCAGCAGTCCAATCACCATCTATAAATCTTATCCCTGGCATCCGGGGTCTCTTAGGCAACAATGTGTGGTCTCTTGATTGGCCGAGACAACCAAGAAGGCTGGTTCCAAAATTGGGCACAGAGCTGAAATTAAAAAGTGTGGGAAACAGTTGGATGGGAGGGGCTGCAACATCCCAGTATAAGCAAGGATGGAGACCCATTAAATCCCCAGACAAGCAGCCTTGCACATCTTCTTTCAAGATGTGCTGCAGTTGTATTCCAATACAGCTCTCTCCTACTGAGCATGTCCAGTTAGATCATTCTGCTCAGGTCACTCCTGAGTTCCGAAATGCAAACTCCACTTTGCCATGTTTTATCAGTGGCCAATAGGTAAAAGACGGTTGGAGGAAAAAGAATTTGTGACTGGCTCAATGGAAGAATAGCACCTGCAGCAGGAAATGGAAGGACGAGAGGGAATTACCCAATACACAAACATATAAACGCTTCAACACAAATTTTATTTGATTATATTATGGAATTGAGGCTGAGTGACAGATACACCAGGGAACCGGCAGATGGCATGCCCTAATAAGAATAAATTTGTGTCTCACAAAATTCTAGCTAATTTCACTAATTAAATTTGTGGAGCACCCACCCTGTAGAAAGGATAAGAGAAAGAATACAAGGAGTTTTTGCAAAATATGTAGCAAGGTAAACTGGAAAACGCAATGCATAAATAACTAATGGAAGGCTCAGGATCATACAACTGCAACAGAATTATAAGCAAGTGCTTGAGAATCCCACGAAGTTAAGAATTCCAGACCTGAGCTGCTTCAGCTAGTGTTTTGTTTTTTTTTTTAATGAGAAGCAGCTAACACGCACATACACAATCCTGAGAGAACCAAAAAGAACCAATAGTTTTCCCCACCAATTTTCCCCCTAAAACAACGCCCTCTCCTCCTACTTAAGCAAATGCACATAATCCTGTGTATTATGCTTCGTAATTTAAAAATAAGCCCTATTTGTACATCCCCAAATAAAATAGAAAAAGGAAAGTGGAGCCTGTGGAGGCTGATGCTTTCCCTAAATTAACAAAGGATCAGCCAGTGGCCTGACTGAAATGAGAACCCAGGCCTGTCTGAATTCCAGCCTAGAGGTTTTTTCCGTGTGACCAGGCTGTATGTAAATGAATAAACAAAGCCTTTAGGGAGATGAGGGGGCGGTCTGGGGGAGCCTTGTAGATGTAATACTAAATTACCATGCAACACCAGTTAACCTTTACGAGTTCAAAACGGGTTTATCCAGGAGACCAGTTTTAACAATGTGGAGAGAGCGGGGGCCACAGCTGTGAAGTTGGCGCTTGTTAAAGACTTTGTAATGGTGGTTACACCACAGAAGGAAAGTGAGATGGGACTGAGAGGAGGACATGTATCTCACTTTATCCCCGTGGGATTTGGATATTCTCATCCCTGATAAAAGGCCTCTTTTGTCTCCATTTTCAGCAGTGCCTTCTGCACCTCCTGTCCTACAGCTTATATGTCTGATACTGCTCCCCAAAGACAGTACACCCCAGCACGCCCGAGTTCCCAGTGAGTCACACCATTTTCACCCATTCATAGTGAGCCCACACACCTAACCCAGCGGCTGTGACACTTCTATGTTTCTTTTTACCCGGAACAACTCAAACATAAAGAGAAGTTTAGACATAAAGAAATACCTTAAAGTTCCAATCAAGATGCTTATTTTGTTTAAATACTCGTGTGCGTGTTGACCAGGAATGATAGAAGTTCCTTCTTCATATGTTCCAGGTCTTGTTCTCCTCCCTGTCTGCCTAGAAACAGGCATTGTTAGGAAATTGGTGTGAGCCTTCTTGTCTTTTTTAAAAATGTGTTTATGCAGGGCTGGAAGGTGGCTCAGTGGTAGAGTGTTTGCTTTGCATGCATGAGGCCTTGGGTTCAATTCTTCAGCACCACATAAGCAGAAAAAACTGGAAGTGGCACTATGGCTCAAGTGGTAGAGCACTAACCTTGAGCTGAAGGACAGCACCCAGGCCAAGAGTTCAGGCCCCATGACCAACAAAAATAAAATAAAATAAAATAAATAAAAAAAAAATGTGTTTATGGGGCTGGGAATGTGGCTTAGGGGTACGCTGCTTGCTTAGCAGGCATGAAGCCCTGGGTTCGATTCCTCAGTACCTACATACACTGAAAAAGCCAGAAGTGGTGCTGTGGCTCAAGTGGTAGAGCGCCAGCCCTGAGCACAGAGAGGCTCCGGGACAGCGCCCAGGCCCTGGGACTGGCCAAGAAAAGAAAGAAAAGTTGTTGTTTTATTATAGACACATGTCAGTCCTCACACACAATGTGTATTGCTGCTAGTATCTTGTAACTTGCTTTGCCACTTACTAGTGTGTGCCACGGATTGAGCCACGTCCACCACCCAGGGCCATGGCTGCATCTTTTCCTCTCCGGACGTGCGCCGAGCCTGACAAGTCCTCACAGGCCGGTGTGTTGTAAATTAATTAACCGAGCAAATAAATAAACGCATCCAGCCGCACATCGCCGGATCTCGGAGCCACGAGGGGCCTGGAAAACATCAAGGCACACAGAGACTTCTCCCACCTGCCACCTGCCTGCCCCGTCGCGACACACTGACTTGACCTCTGACCTTTCTGGGTAGTGTGCGCGCGCGCGCGTGTAAATCATCGGCTCTCCAATCGCGTCTGCTCCGGGGAAGACGGAGCTGGCCGCCGGCACCCGCGGGCCTCACCTGCCCCACAGGCTCTTGGCAAAGAGGACATGCACTACTCCCCGGGCGCGAACCCGGTTCCGGGCGGCCGGGTGTACCCCAACGCACGCCTGCACCCCAGTCACCGGCGCGGGTGCCCCTCGGCTCCCCGGGGACCCGCACCCCGGCTCCCCCGGCGGCGGCTGGCCGGCGCGCCAGGGCAGCCTCCCGGCTTGGGGAGCCTGCGAGTGCCCGCTGTGCCGTAATGCTTTGCGAGAGAAAGGCTTTGCACGATAGACGTTTCTAGAACTCAGAACCACGACGCCGTGCGGGGGCAGCTCCCAGCGTCACCCAGCCGCCAGGCTGAGAACAACGAAGCTCTGGCCCGCACGTCGCGGCTCGGGTTTCCCCGCCCCGGCCGAGCGTGCGCCAGGCGCATGCGCAGTCCCTGCGCGCGCACCTACCTACCCCCCCCCCCCCCGTCGTCCGGGCGCGCGCGCCAGCGCGCACGGAGAAGCTCGCGGTCGCTCAGTCGCGCGCGCCGGCGCTGCTCGGCGGCTCCCGGGACCCGAGGACCTGCGCGGCCGGCAGCGGCGGCGACCAGCGGCCAGCGCTGCAGCCCCGGGGAGCCCGGCTCCCGGCTGTGAGGTGAGCGCCCCCCCCCACCCCGGGGCGAGCGGTTTCTCGGAGTCGGGCGGGCGGGAAGAGGAGCGGCGAGCGTTGGAGGGCCGGGGACGCCGCGGCGGCGGGGATCCGCCTCGCCCGGTGCCGAGCCGCCGCCTCCTCAGGGATCGTTCTCCGCGTCGCGGCCAACACAAAAGCCGTGGGCGCCGGGCTGTGGCGCGGGGTCGGGGCGGCTCCTCGGGAGCGAGCGGGGCCCGGAGCTCTGGGGGGGCCGGGGGGGTCGGCGGCGGCGAGTCCGGGGCCGCGGGCTGCCCCGGGGAGATGCCCGGGGGGAGGCGGTCGCCGCGTCCGCCCCCCGGCGCCGGGCAACCTGTGCGAGTGTGGCCGCGGCGGGCCGGGTCCTCGCGCCCACCTGCGTCGGGAGGGAGGGCGGGAGGGCGCCGAGCCGGGGGTGGAGGCGGGGAGGGCGCGCGGGGCCGGGGGTGGAGGACAATGCGCCCCGCTCCCGCGCCGCCCCGCGCCCCGGGTCCCCCTCCCCACCTCCCTACCCCCCCCCCCCCCAGCCCCGGGCCGACCTTTGCGGCCCTGAGCCTAAAACAAAGTTGTCCCTTCCCGCCGGGCCCTTGGCCGGGTCCAGCGCCGCCCCCGGGGTGCCGGCCTCGGGGTGGCCGAGGCCCCCCGGTCTGGAGCCGAGCCGCGTTTAACCCGGCTGGGGCTGCACTCCGCGTCCCCGCGCTTCTCCCGAGCCCCAATCCTCCACGGAGGGAAAAAGGGGTTTTCTTTATTTAAAATGGGGGGGGGGTATGGAACAAAAAGCACATGCCATTAATTTAGCCACGGGCGGAGACAAAGTTGAAGAAACACACCGGAGGCCCGGGGTTTTTGTTGTGAAATAACACCCGGAATGTTGCATCTCGTGTAACTATCCGGTAGCTGCAGCTCAGCACCGACCAGCCGCCTCCGAGACGGTGCCACAGACAGGTATTCCCGCGAAAGCCTGCGGTTCGAAAAGTCGCTCTTACACCCAGGATGTGTTATTAATAGGATCTGGGTTACTTTGCGAAGCCCACACCTAAGGAGCCAGCAAACAAAGACCTGACCGACATTGACGATGTTGCCTCCTCCCTCAGCCTTCTTGAGCCCTGAACAGTGTGCTGGTGGCATCACAGGCAAAAAAAAAAAGAAGGAATAGGAAAATAAAAAAAAAAAAAAACAACAAAAAACTTGAGTTCTGTTATTAAGCAGCTACTCCAGCAGATAAGGCTTCCCATTCTTGCTTTGAATTAAATCAATATTTTTTTTTCCTTCGGAAAACAAACAAAAACATGTGCTTGCATTATCGAAAAGATTCAGTTAGGGAGCAGAGGAAAGACATAAATGTTTGGGTGGGCTTGGAAGGCTAGAACTATAGATAAAATGTGAGATGCAATTTTCCCCTTTACCTTGTTGCCCTATCTGTAGCAAACACGGCATGGGGCTCTCTCATCCCCAGATGCTTTGAAACTGTTAAGAAAATAAGTGAATTTTGGCTAAAGTCTGTCTTTCCATTGTGTTTCCTCCTCTTTTTCTTTTCCCCTTACCCACTACTAATCTTCTCTATCTCCATCTCTCTCTCAAATCTAACCGTGTCTCATTAAAGGAGAAAGGACTATAAGATCGTTTCTTCATTTCAACGACTGTATGTCTTTCAGCTTTATTTTGTTCTGTGATTTTTCTTGGGAGTTACATATCTGAGATATTTGAAGTATAGTGGGTTGCAAGGAATTCAGTAGCAAAGGGCACATTCTTTCTTTGTGTGGTACAATGTGAAAGCTTTATTAGGAGAGAGAGGAGGTTTTTTTTTTTTAACCCTCAATATATTTTTTCCACTTGACCTCTGGGGAAAAATACCATTGCAACTTAACATTTTATATTAGTTTGTTAGTAAAACTCCTAAGTTATACTCCAAACTTTGAAACTTATTAGTTTATGTTAGGATACTGTTGACTTTGTTTTCTTTAGGAGACGAGTGATGGGAAACAGTTCTTAAAAGAATAGTATTAGCTGCAGGTTTTAATCCCTCCATACTCTAGAACTTGAGAGCCAGGTGAGGTGGTTTGTGCCTTTAATCTTTGCTACTCAGGAAGCTTGAAGGATTGAAGCTTGAAACTGAGGATTGAAATGTGCCACCAGCTCAGATATAAAGGTTTGCTAGCTTCCATCTACAAAATAACTGACCAAAAACAGGGCTGGAGGAATATCTTAAGAGGTAGAGTACCACCAAGAAAGCAAGTAAGCCTAGAGAGATCCATGTCCTGTGTTCAAACCCCATACCATCACCCCACAAAAGAGAGAGAATTGTGGGTGGGAAGAGAACCAAGTCTAGTTTAGCATATCAAGGCAGGAAGTAAGACCCTATCTTAAAAACGACGAGCAAAAAACAAGACGGGAGGTATGGCTCAGTACCATGTCTGCCTATCAAGTGCAAGGCCCTGAGTTCAAACCCCAACGCTGAAAAAAAAAACCCAAAGTAAATACATACTAAAAATACGTACTAAGAAAGATCTGTGTCAGGATGCTGAATAAAGAAAATTAGGTTTTCAGTAGCAGTGTTTCTGTAGGCTAGGAATAGACACTTGAAGATCACAGTTCCTGACTAGCTAGGAAAGCGTTTTAACTATGGTGCCAAAAATGAATTCCCTCTTGGCTTTCCAGTTCATCATGCTGAGAACTATTGATAGTTTGAATCCAAGGAATGCATTGCAAATGAAGTTTCTGATGAATATACAAATGTGTGTTAGTAAGAACAAATTCTAGTCCCCACGTTTTGTCTCACTGAAACAATTCTATAGTTACAACATATGAGACATTCAATTTTGTTAAGGGAGAGGGCAAGGTCTTGATATTTTCTGATGAAAATCTGGAGAATTTTCTGATGAACAGATCTTAGTTGGAAAAGGAAGCTTGGCTGGAATTTGTGCTTGAATTTGTTTTGTTTTAAAATTCCAGATCCATCTTTTCCCTTCAGTTTTATTTCTAGGTTAATTTAAAAAGATCATAGAGTTTTGGACTCTTAATATTGAATCCCAGACTGAATTTTGATGCCTACTGTTAATTTTAATCATGAACCAACAAGTATTTATTTTTCCCGTGTTTATTTTCTTAAGCCATTATCACTCAACTCACTGAAAGCTTTGATTATTTGTTGTAATGTGTAGATGACAAGGTGGACTTTAAAAATCAAAGTAGGAAAGATCAGAAAGAGATATTAAGTAAGAAGCCAATATAAACACTAAAAACATAGCATCCAGGAGCTGGATGCTGGTAGCTCATGACTGAAAGCTACTCAGGAGGCTTGAGATCTGAGGAGCGCAGTTCAAAGCCAGCCCTGTGGCAAGAAAGTTCATGAGACTCATATCTCCAGTTAACCACCAGAAAACCAGAAGTGGAGTTGTAGCTCAGCTCAAAATGAGAGAGTGCTAGCCTTGAGTGAAATAGCTCAGAGACAATGCCCAGACCCTGAGTTCAAGCCCCACGACTGACTGCCAAAAAGCAAAAAACAGCCGGGAGGCGTTTTTTTGGTGTCAATCATGGGGCTTGAACTCAAGGACTGTACACTGCTTCTTAGCATTTTTGCTCAAGGCTAGTACTCTACCACTTAGAGTCACTGCACCCCATCCAGCTATTTTGGTGGTTAATTGGAGATAAGAGTCTCATGGACTTTTTTTCTACCTGAGCTATCTTCCAACTACAATCCTCATAACTCAGCCTCTTGAGTAGCTAGGATTTACGGTACAGGTACCAGTGTCCAGCTAGGCAATATTTTGAAAATTTATTTGTTCTTCTGGGAGTCACACTTTTTTCCACCTGAATTCTTTGTGTCTGACTTTATAGTGTGGGAAAAATCTTCCAGAGGTGCTTCCTGTCCCTTTATATTGTTTTATGGTTGTCCCTCAGGACAAACACTGATCTTTTACTCATTTCTTTTGTCAGTTGGGGGGCTTGAACTCAGTGCCTAAGCACTGCCCTTGAACTCTTTCAACAGAAGAAGAAAACTGACAATAATAGGGGAATATCAGATTCTTGACATTGTACATTTGTAAAAATATCACAGAAGCTTAAAATATCTAGTTCCCCTATTCCTCTCTCCAGCTCTGTGTATCAAACCTAAGGCTTCACCCAAGCTAGGAAGTATTTTAGCTTGAGCTACATCTCCAGCATTAGTCCCACTTTTTTTCTAATGAGATGTTAACCAAATAAGTTCACATGTGTAGGCCCAGGGCTGGCTTCCCTCCAGTGGAGATGGAGACTTGATGACTTTTCTGCCTGTACTGGCCTGGTATGGCAATCCTTCCAGTCTCTCTGCCTCCCTTGCAGCTTAGGATCCACACTATTGTGGGATCTTTTAAACTTTTCTGCCTAGATTGGCCTTAAGCCAAGATCCTCCCATTCTTAACCTCCCAATAACAAAGGAGCCACCAATACCCAGTTTACATGTTTTGTTGTGTTGGTCCTGGGGCTTGAACATAGGGCTTGGGTGCTATCCTTGAGCTTTTGTGCTCAAGGATACTACTCTACCACTTGAGCCACAGTTTTATTTCTGGCTTTTTAGTGGTTAATTGGAAATAAGAGTCTCTTGGACTTTTCCTTCCCCAGATCTCAACCACTTGAGTAGGCAGGATTGCAGGCATGAGCCACTGATGCCCTGCAATATATGCTTTTTTGTTGTTGTTGGGTTATTCTATTATTCTATTTGATTTTTTTTTGAGCCACTGGTTCCTGGCAGGTTTTTTTTTTTTAAATTGCGAAAATACTGTACAGAGGGGTTACAATTATATGGGCAAGATAATGAGTACATTTCTTATCAAGCATTGTAGCGTCCTCCTTTGTTTCCCCTTCCCTTGATTTTTTTTTTTTTTAATACTGATACTGGGGCTTGAACTCAAGGTTTCATGCTCTCTTGGCTTTTTTGCTTGAGTTTGGCACTCAACCATTTGAGCCATACCTTCATCTACTATATGTCTTTATTTTTAAAGTTCATGTTATACGTATTACTATTATATACTTTTAATTATTCAGATTTAGGATAGCACTTCTTAAAACCCAACTTAGGCAGCACTTGTAACCTGGGAAGATGAATAGAATATATATTATCTTCCAGGATTCTTATTTCTTAGGCCTGAATCAGTTGTACTTTTAAATTAAAGAACCAGTGTTGTGGGGGGAATGAAAATTCCTTAGCTGCGATATTTAATCTGCCTGTTTCGTTTATTTTTTTCTCACTGCATTCTATTGTTGTTTCCCCCTTTTACAAACGACAGTTTTGCCATTTTCATTATTGTCTTTGTGCAACGTAGATTTTATAAAAGCACTTTGATACAGGTAATTTGGATGTTGCAGTAATATATAAGGAAACAGCTATAAGAAAGTGGGAAGCTGGGGCTGGGAAGGTGGCTCAGTGGTAGAGTGCTTGCCTTACATGCATGAGGCCCTGGGTTTGATTCCTCAGCACCACATAATCAGAAAAAGCTGGAAGTGGTGCTGTGGCTCCAGTGGTAGAGCGCTCCCCTTGAGCTGAAGAGCTGAGGGACAGCACCCAGGCCCAGAGTTCAGGCCCCATGACTGGCAAAAAAAAAAAAAGAAAGTGGGAAGCTTCACTTGCAAGGGAGCCAAAAGGAGTAAGTGAGAGGAAATTGGGTATCATAGATGAAGCAAGCAGAAGTATAAGGGGGCATTTCAGATCATTTAAAACACTCAATGAGGTATTGTTTCTTAAGTTGTGGTTTTTTGTTTGTTTGTTTGTTTTTGTCATAGGGCCTGAACTCTGGGCCTGGGCGCTGTCCCTCAGCTCTTGAGCTCTAGGCTAGCACTCTACCACTTGAGCCATGGCACCACTTCCAGCTTTTTCTGCTTGTGTGGTGCTGAGGAATGGAACCCAGGGCCTTGCGCATGCAAGGCAAACAGTCTACCACTGAGCCACCTTCCCAGCCCCTGTTTATTAAGTTTTATATAGTATTCTTCTTTGGAGCATAAATATGAAACCTATAAGCACTCAAGAGATTAGGCTAAGTGAGTTTTTTTTTTTTAATTCTTGGTGGTGTTGTATAGATACTTTATGGGGAATAATGTTCCCTTCGATTGTTTTTTAGTTGCAAGTGAGTAAACATGCGTCATAAGCTGTAGACTACAAAGACTGAACTGACTTGGATGTTTTAATACTGTAATCAAAGCTTTCAACAGTTACTTGACAAATATTTAGTCACATGTATAATTGTTACCATGCTACAAGGTAATTACAATTAAATATGTTTTAACCGTATGTAATGTCAGCTTTTTATAGCCAGATCTCAACATTTCTGAGACTACCTGAAGGAGGGGGAAAAAATACAGCCGACAAGCTGTCGCACAAATCTGGTGTAGTGAGATTGAGACTCTTGAAACAGGGAATGCCACAGAGTTCTTTTCCTTTCCACCAATCAAGGCCATCTACTAGAAATTGGGAAGGTATAGCCATTGTTTCTGTTCTCTTTAACTACTTTTCTGCTTAGTAATGAAAGCTGGGGAAACAGAGGTCTCAGTCACTGGTAGTTAAGCTCTGGATAGAAATTTTCCTTGCTTTTCAGCCAACTAAGTTCCAGGTCTCAAGGTGTGAGCCACCAAGGCTGCTAACATTTGAGTTGTTCTACTAACCTGGATCTCTGAGAATTTCTGAACCTAAATTTCTAATATGTTTTTCTCAACCTAGGTCATCTACAACAAATCCTGAAATAGGAGTATAAATAAGAAACAAAATTTAGTAGAAGCAAAAGTAATGTTTGTTAGTAAACCAGATCAGAGTAAGATAGCTTAGAATATGCAGAATATGCTTAGAATATCAGACCTGCCTTCCATTCTACCCATCAGCTTCCAGCCCAAATTGAGAATCACACTTTTTGCTTCTTGGAAAATAGGGACAAGTCAGGTTCTCAGTGGAAATAGTAACAACCATTCCTATTCCTGTTGTATGCTTTTAGGAATGATTTCTATTTTCTGCAGTCAGATTGTGCTTCATGACCATTTGTTGGTTAAATATTTGTAATTCAAGGGCTACTTCTACTGTATTAATTTATTTTTGTGCTATCTGAGAAGTTGCAATACTGGGATAATAGTTTTAGACCCTCTGTCAGTTTAGTATTGATTGATAGAGACAGTGCTATCAACTGTAATTCAGTAACAAAGATCTGTTTAATACTCTTTTACCATTTTTTTTTGGGGGGGGGGGTCCGGTCGTGGGGCCTGAACTCTGGGCCTGGGCGCTGTCCCTCAGCTCTTCAGCTCAAGGCTAGCGCTCTACCCCTTGAGCCACAGCACCACTTCCGGCTTTTTTTTTTTATGTGGTGCTGAGGAATCGAACCCAGGGCCTCAGGCATGCAAGGCAAGCGCTGTACCACTGAGCCACCTTCCCAGCCCCTCCTTTACCATTTATAAAGTACTTTTGCATGTATTATCTCATAATGCATGTATATGTCATCCTATGAGAGATGGTGATGGAATCATTTTTCATGAAGAAAAATTGTGGGTTCAAAGAAGTTAAGTGATATATATTATCTTTTTTTTTTTAGTGATTTATTTATATTCACAAACCTAGAAAGAGGCTTAAAGCTATCTTTTGGTTTACTTTTCAGACCTTTGCAGTTGTTTCCTGTTAAATCAATTAGCGTAGTATTAAAAGACTAAGGCACACATAGGAAATTTAAAATCCAATAATTTAGTTTACAAAAATATTTTTATATTTATTGGACTTGAACTCAAGACTTCATGTTCTTCCTTAGTTGTTTTTTTTTTTTTTTTTTTTGTCAGTTGTGGGCCTTGAACTATGGGCCTGAGCACTGTCCCTCAGCTCTTCAGCTCAAGGCTAGCGCTCTACCACTTGAGCTACAGTGCCACTTCCAGTTTTCTGGTGGTTTATTGGAGATAAGAGTTTCACGGAGTTTCCTGCCCAGGCTGGCTTTGAACCAAGATCCTTAGAGCTCAGCCTCCTGAGGAGCTAGGATTATAGGTGTAAGCCACGGGCGCCCAGCTTTCCTTAGGTTTTTTTACTCAAGGTTGGCACTCTACCACTTAAGCCATACCACAACTGGCATTTTGGTAGTTAATTGGAGATGAGTCTTTCAGATTTGTCTAGCTGAACTGGCTTCTAACTGAGATCCTTAGATCTCATCCTTCCGAGTGACTAGACTTATGGGTGTGATCCACTGGCACTTGGTACAACAAATATTTAAATATAGTTTAGGACAAAAGTGTAAGAATTTTTCAAAATGAATCAACTGTGTCTTTAGCAAATAAAAAAATCAGATATGATAGATCAGGCAAGCAGAAGGATAAGGGGGCATTTCACATCATTTTAAACACTCAAATGAGGTATTTTTTTTTTAAGTTTTATATAGTAGACTTCTTTGAACCATAAATATGAAACACATAAGCACTTGAGAGATTAAGCTAAGTGATTTTTTAAAAAAAATTCTTGGTGTTGTCATATAGATGCTATATGGGGAATAATGTTCCCTTTGTTTAATAGTTGCAAGATCAGAAGTTAAAAAAAAAACATGAGGTATCGAATATATATGTGTGTGTATATATGCACACACATATAGCTAAGGAAAGAAAATTGAATGTCTTTTGAATGTTATTTAAGGACCAATTGGCATATCTATTACATATCATATATGTACATATTATATATATGAAAACTATCTCTGTGAAGTATGCATGTATTTTTTATACTAGGTCAGTTTGATGTCTCATCAAAGATTTTAATGTCAAGTCTATAAGAGGAAATGACTAATTTCTCTCATTTTCTTAATAATGCTTTTCAGATATTTCAATCAAGGAAGAAATAGCTCTTCTCCTAAGATGGAATCTGTGATTTGGGAATGTGGTTGATCAACTTGATATGTTGGCCAAATGTGCCCTATATAATAAAATGAAAAGAAGAGACAAGATGATGTCATTTTCCCATATTGTGAAACCAAAAACAAATGCCTTTTGTGAGACCAAGCTAACAAACCTCTGACAGAGCAAAGAGCGTTTAAATGTTTGAAGAACTTAACAGTAAGATACCGAAGAAGTGCTTTCATACTGAGACCTGAAGGTGTATATTATTCTAAAATATGTATTGAGTAGGCCTGGTCATCCAAATCTCATTCTGATCCAGGAAGAATGGCTATGAGTTGGATCATCTTCTATCTTTGGCTCTTGACCATGTTTGTGGGGCATATAGGTGGGCACAGTTTGTTTTCGTGTGAACCTATTACCTTGAGGATGTGTCAAGATTTGCCTTATAATACTACCTTCATGCCTAATCTTCTAAATCATTACGACCAACAGACAGCAGCTTTAGCAATGGAGGTAAGACCTGATTTGCCTTTTGACATAGCTTATAATTGCTTATAATTTGATGCGTTCCATAAACAACAGGAAAATACGCTATTTTAAATGGAATCTTATACATTTGAAAATTCATGTATTTGGTTCATACTGTAATAGAGCGAAAAATTCATGTTTGGTAACTGCTACCCTTGATCTATTGTTTTAGACATTGTGTTTTTACAGAGGAATTTGAAACACTGGAGACCAAGAGATAATAGCCATTCAGAAGTTTAAAATTGTGCAAGTTGTGATGTGATTACAGCTCTGTTGTTTGGCTGAACCTTTGGAAAAAGAACAGACTAAGAAGTGCAGCTCAGTCATTAAATGTTGAATATAATGTGATTTTTTTTTAAGAAAATGAGTCCGTTAGTCAACCCTTAGGCTTATAGTATTTCAATTATCTTAAGTACTCAAGATAATTTCCTAGTTATAGTGTTCACATCCAGTTACGAGTAATTCCCTTTTGTAACTGTAACCCTCTGTGTGTATGTAATATTATATGTAGCATATATCTATATCTATATATATCACTTTTCTAATAACAATAAAAAAAGGAAAAGAAAAGTGATGACTCAAACAATAAAATAATTATATTACTTGTTCTTGGCCTCTCAGAGTTTTATGAAAATTGTTGCCTTATTTGAATTTTTCTAATAATTCTTCAGGGACTCCTTAATGATTCTACTTCAGAAATGATGCACATTAATGGATGTAGTCAATAGTAGGTTTAAATACATGTATACTTGTGTAATGATTTTAGAATTGAGAACACTTTCTAGCAATGTTAAATTGCCCAAGTTTCAACTTTCCCATCATGGTTTCTTTGTTTATAAAATAAATCTAATAATGACCATACAGGCTTTTGTAATTCAAACCAAAAATATACTCATAAAATACTTGGCATATATTTAATCTATGATAGGGTTTTTTTTTGTTTCATTTTTACCATTTATAAAGATAATGTTTTATCCTATGGTGTTTGATTCATTTGTACAGTGCTTTTAGCAAATGGAAGCCTACATGTTTTGGAAATTTTTTATTTTATAGTAAAACTTGAATTTTTATTTATATTTTGTGTCAGTCATGGGGTTTGAACTCAAGGCTGGACGCTGTCCCTGAACTTTTTTGCTCAAGACTAATGTTGTACCACTAGAACCACAGCTCCCCTTCTGGCTTTTTGTGGAGATAAGAATAATTCAGATAAGAGATAAGATAATTGGAGATAAGAATCTCGTGGACTCTTTTGCCCAGGCTAGTTTTGAACTGAGATCCTTAGATCTCATCCCCCAGAGTAGCTCGAATTACAGACCTGAGCCACTTGCCCACCCACAACTTTATTATTTGGAGGTAGGTTAATGTTCTATCTGGGAAAATTTGTGGAAAGATTATGATCATAGTAAGAAACAAATCATAAAGATGTCTTGAGTTCAACTTTTCTACAGAGGTTTGAACTCGGGGCCACACTTCCTTAGCTTGTTTGCTCACAAAGGAATTTGGAGATGAGCAGACTTTTCTGCCCAGGATGGCTTTAAATCATGATCATCTGGGGCTGGGAAGGTGGCTCAGTGGTAGAGTTCTTGCCTTGAGCTGAAGAGCTGAGGGACAGCGTCTAGGCCCAGTGTTCAGGCCCCACAACCGACCCTCCCCCCCCCCCCCCAAAAAAAAAAAATCATGATCATTTGGATTTCAGCCTACTGGGTAGCTAAGATTACAGGGGCAAGCCACTAGTGCCTGGCTCCAATTTTTATTTATGTGCTTCATGATTTCATAATTTCTTTTCTACTTTGATCTGATAAAATGTTATTGAAGAAAAGGATTATAAAACTCATCTTTTCTGGAATAATAAAGGACAATGCTTTTATTTAAAAAATTCTTTTGTTATTATAAAGGTGATGTACAGAGGGGTTACAGTTACACAAGTAGGTAACTAGTACATTTCTTTTTGGACAGTATCACCCCTCCCCTCACTCTCCCAAGCTCCCTCTCTCCATTCCTACCTACAAGTAGTATAGTTCATTTTCAAAGTAATGGCTGGTAAATAAATACCACTGCTACATTTCCCTTGTCTCTCCATTTCTGTGTGGACAATTTCTTTCTTTCTTTCTTTGTTTCTTTCTTCCTTCCTTCCTTCCTTTCTTCCCTTTTGTCATAGGTTGAACTCAGGGCTTAGGCTTCTGTTACTCAAGGCTAGCACTCTACCATGTAAACCACAGCACCACTTCTGGCTTTTTCTGTGGTTACTTGGAAATAAGAGTCTCACAGACTTTCCTGCCCAGGCTGCCTTTGAACCGCAATTGTCAGATCTGTCTCCTGAGTAGCTAGGATCACAGACATGAGCTACCGGTGCCTGACGACAATTTTCTTTAAATTATGTATGTTTGCGACTTTTGACTTAGCCAAGGAGCAGATTTAAGATTTTGGACAAGTTACTTAACATTTTTGAACTTGTTTTTCTTAATTTGTCAAAAAGTAATATGAATAAAAATATCTGGAAAGGTAGCTAGCACAATGCATGGTACAAAGATATCTGTAAATGTTAACTCTATTCTACATTATCTAGAAAAATGATGTATTTGCCTCAAATGAACTTGTATCCTTAGTTTTAGGTTCATGGGTTATTTGTAATGAGGGCATGGCAGGCTTTCTCTGCCTTCTTACTCTAGATATTGTTTTGGCAATGAGCTTGCCATTGTGTGAATTTTAGTGATTCTTGGGAGAGCTTCTAAAGAGGAAATAATTTCTAGATGAAGGCCCCAGTGACTTGAAGTAAAGTTGGAGATATATGCTTGTTGCATGATCTGGACATTGATGGTACTTACTGATGGACAGAGTTTTTGAATGTAAATTTTTTTATCATACTAAAGGATGAGAAAATTCAGACAACAACATGCCGATAGTTATTAATAAAGCTTTGCTTCTCTCCCTCTACTCATTTAAGAACTTTGTAAATGAATCTACCAGCTCCTCAAAGAGTAATTGGAGCAGATAACCCTAGCACACTCCTGAGTGTTCACTGTAAACCTGGATGAGCTGCATGAGTGTTAGCTTTGTGTAGTACTAGCAGGCCCAGGCTTTAAGCTTGCCTGAGATTCCCTGTGATTCAAAACAAGTGCTTGAACCAGGATGGTATATGAACAATAAAGCAGGGTGCTGCCTGGTGGTGTATATAGGTAATTCCAGCACTTGGGAGGGGAGGCAGGAGAGCTTGAGCCAGCTTGAGCTACATAATAAGATCTTGTCTTAAAAAAATGAGCCAAACAAAAACAAGCTAGGGACAGGATGACAGAAAAGTCCAGAAACTGGGTTATTTCAAATCACAAGTTGGGTGTTCTCACATTTTATATAAACCTCCATGAAGCTGGGATTAAAGGCATGTGTCACCACACTTAGCAAAATTATTGTTTTAAAGTCACTTAACTATTTCTTCCCCACATGATTAAGCTAAATACAAAGATGGCATATATGTTTCGTTTTGATATGAGGGATAACTTTTTTTTTTGGTCATACTGGTGTTTGAACTCAGGCTTGGCACTTGCTTGCTCTACCACTGAACCATGCCTCCAGCACTTTTTTTCATTGGCTATTTTTGAGATAGGGTCTCATTTCCTGCCCAGGAACATGCCTGGACTGCCATCCTCCTATTTTAGGCTTCCCACTGTAGCTAGGATGACAGATGTAGGCTACCATGCCCGGCATCTTTCATGATTATTGATACACAAGGATTCATTATACTGTTGTTCAGAGTATGAAATTTTCTCTGGGCATTAGTGGCTTACAAATGTAATCCTAGCTACTCAGGAGGCTGAGATCTGAGGATCACGGTTCAAAGCCAACCCCGGGCAGGAAAGCCTGTGAGACTCTTTATCTCCAGAAAACTGGAAGTGGTGCTGTGGCTCAAGTAGTAAAGTGCTAGCCTTGAGTTGAAGAACTGAGGGACAGTGCTCAGGCCCAGAGCTCAAGCCTCATGACTAACCAAAAAAAAAAGTATGAAATTTTCAATTATGTGATAGTGACAAAGTTAGTCTCCTTGTGTTGTCATTAGAAAAGAATTGGTATGAGGATCAAATAAGATATGTGAAAAATTTTTAAATATTAGTGCCAATCTTTGTCCATGGTATTTGAATGCAAAGCATGATAGACATTCAGAAATTGGTTCTTTTTCTCCTTGCCTTATTATTCCTCAGTTCATCTCAATTGCACTGAACTTCTTAGCATTCCTTAAATCCGCTAAGTCTGTGCAAATTCTGTCTTTGAGAGTCTTCCAATATCCCTTTTTGGTGATATCTTACTTAGTGTACAGGTCTGGCTTAGATATTACTTCCTTGTGAAACCTGGGATTCTCAGTTAGTGACTGTCATACTTACTATTGTTTTTTCTATGTACCTCTGTTTTAGTGTTTATTTTTGGAGCTGGTTCTGGAGCTTGAACTTGGGGCCTAGGTTCTGTCCTGAGCTTTTTTTGTTCAAGACTGGCACTCTAACACTTGAGCCACAGCTCCACTTCCAGCCTTTTGGTAGTTAATTGGAGGGTCTCATGGACTTTCTTGCCTGGGCTAGCTTTGAACCTCAATCCTCAGATCTCAGCCTCCTTAGGATTACTAGCATGAGCCACTGGTCCCAGCTTATCCTTAATTCATCTTTGTATGCCCAGTACTTAACAGAGCCTCACATACAGTAAATGCTAAATAAATGTTTGAATTAAGTACACTGTAAATCCCTTAGAGATGGCAATGTTGATGATTATGTTTCTGGTGTTATACCTAAGCTCTTAATCTCCTGGGGATGTAATGAATAGTTTGGAGTAAATGGTGGTAGTATCACAGGTCCAAGGTTACCACACACCTGTGAGCACTTGTAGGTTGCTTTCTTTCAAAGTGATTTGGGACATTACATTGCATGCTTGCATTTACTAGTGATGTAATAAAGCCAAGCAGTGAGAAGTGATCTGATAGGGTTTCTCTAAGGCCAGAGTGGTTATTC